CAAAATTCCCCAGCCAGCGCGTCTGCCTGTCCATCCGTCTGCCTGTCAGTCTGTTCATCTGCCTGTCAGTCTGTCCGTCCATTTGTCCATCCACCAGTCCATCTGTCTGTCCATCCGCCTGTCAGTCTATCTTTCTGACAGACGTGCTGGCCGGGGAGTTCTGCGAGCCGAAGTCTTAAACTTGCCGAGGTTGAGAAACCCTGCACTGGAACCCAGAGCCCACCGAATAACTTGGAGCGGTCACTCTCTTAACCCGGGCTACCCATCGGGCCGTTAGCGCGAGGAGCCTCCCCATTAAGCTTAGCGGAGCCTGGGAGGGAGGGAGAGCGACACCCCGGACCTCACGGCAACGGCGGCTGAGTGGGGACTCGAACCCGGGTCTCCCCCTCGGGGCCAGCACCGCAGCTTCTCCTCCACGAGGTCCTTGATTCTGGTCCACGAACTCAACTTGAGGGGGCGGGGCCGTGACGCCACTCCCCTTTCAAAGGGGGCGGGGCCGAGCGAAAGAGGGCTACGGGGGAGGCTCCCCTCGCGCCTCCCCGCCTGGCTTGAACGCCCCCAGGCGGGAGAGCGACGGGGCAACCGCAGCCCTCGCCCAGCAACCGACACGGAGAGACAGAGAGGGGCACCCGCGGTCCCCGGCAGGTCTCCCACTGCCGCTTCCACACCTGGGCAGAGAAGCCGAGGAACTGCACCCCACAGCCTTCGCTTCGCTCTCCTCCTCTCTTCAGGCGCCTTCGCTCCGGAAACGTCTCCCAACGAGGGAAGCAAAACGTCACTTCCGCTTCCGGCTCTCCTTGAGTCTCTCTAGGGATGAGGCAGAGAGCCGGTGGCCTCCGTGGGAAGCTACCCGGGGGCGCATGCGCGCGATGGAGGGCGGGTGGAACGGGCTCGCTCGCTTAGGCGTGCGCATTAGAGAGAGGGGGGAACGCTTTAAGATGAGTGGACCAACTCCCAGAGTGCTGGCTGGGGAATTCTGGGAGTTGAAGTACACACGACTTAAAGTCGCTAAGGTTGAGAAACCCTGAGCTAGACCATAATCCTGGACTCTGCTGCGAGTTGTAGTCCAACCTGGTTGCTGTTTCAACAGCGTCCCCATCTCAGGTGGTGTTTTTTCTCCTTAGGAGTGTTATTTAGCTTCTCACTTTGGCTTGTTTGAGGTTTATTGGGCAACCCTTGCCAATTGCAATGTATTCAGGAAACCATGATTAGAAAGAAGCCAAGAATTCGGGCAGGCACTTAGCATCCTTTTTGGTTGGATAGCAGGAAAAAAACATAGAGGTTAGGGTTTTTTGGTTTTTTGCAGAATAGGAATAAAATGGGTGCTTTAATCTTGGCAGTTGCTTCAATTGACTGCCGAAATCCAGACAAACAGTAGATGGTGGTGGAGTTTGAGCTGTGTTTCTCCTTCCTGGGCCATTGTCTGGATTTGACAGCCCAATTCCCCTGAGATAATTCTACATAGCTTAAAATGTAATGTGTAGTATGGTACAGATCTTGAAATGTCACAGTGTCAATCAGCCAAAACTTCCTGGGGAAGCTCCTTTGGAACTTAGCAAAACATCAGTGCACGTGCGAAAAAGTGTAAATGTAAATCCCCAATGTATTATTTAGAAAAGCAACAGGTTCTATTTTTGTTACTATTTTCCCAAAGGTTTGTATTCCTTTAAGGTATTCTCAGATGTTTCCTGTAAAAGAGCTGTTGGTTACAATGATAAATGTCCCATCTCATAGAAAGACATTTTTATTTATTTTTCATTGCTGTATATACATAATACTTAACAGAGACTCTCTGGGCCACCCAAGTTTTAATTTCTACTCTGGGATTTGACACATACGTCTTCCTCATCCCCAAACGAATTGGACAGAATACATCAGGCAAAAGCATTCTGCAGAATCAGTGGCTCTTAAGCAGATGATTGAGACACAAAGGCCATTTAATAATTTGAAGCACCTTTATCAAGCTTAATTTCCCAGTCACCGTACTTAAAATGACCATGTTTAGTTCATTTTTGTTGTATGTTTATTTCATTTCCTCTAAGAATTCCAAGGAGTATACATACGATTTCCTGCAATTTCCCCAATATGCCTCTGAGGTAGATTAAGATAAGAGTTAGTGGCTAGTTCAAAGTCACCAAGCAAGTGGCCGGTGAAATCAAGTGCATGACCGTGTTTGGTATTCCACCTTGTAGGTAGCCCTAGCCATGCCTACTTTCCAGATCCAGATCCCGTCCCTGTCCTCTTGCAAAGATCTAGATCCAGATCCCATCCCTGTCACCTTGCAAAGATCATGGTCATCCTGTCCGTGTTCTGATACAAGCCCAGAATTTTAAAAATGCTTTGGGGTGGCTTTTCAGGCAAGACCTCCAAACTGTAACAATACATCACTGGACATCTGATGTGCTTCTCAGCTCTACATGCTATGATTTTTCTGTACACCTCACTGAATAACTCCATGCTAGAAGAACATGTCTGATCAGTGTGGACTGTCCAGTCACACATTAAAGGATTATTCACAGGTTCAAATTCAGTGCCTGTTTAGATCAGCATATGCTCTGAGACCCTTCAAGCAAAGGATGCTCTGTATTGATTAAAGACTTCACAAGATCCCCCAGAGCTATAAATCCCCCATTTTTCTTTACAGCAAGCTAGTAACATTGGCTTTTGCTCAAGCACGACTTGAGTGGCTGAGCCACTCCAAAGCAAACAATAAATCCTATCAGAGTAAGTAACCTCCCGTCCCCCTTCCTGGGCAAGAGTCAGCCTTTCACGCGCTAGAAACGCGGTTTGACCCGGAAGTGTTCACATTTTTTGAATTTCATGGTCAGACCATACTGGGGAGTCATATCCACCATCTCTGGGCCAGACAGGGTGAATTCCAGCTTTTGCACCAAGGTGGTCAGAAACAGAAAAATCTCCTTTTTTGCAATGCTCTGTCCAATGCACTGCCTTTTGCCCAAGCCAAAAATCATAACCTTTTCACACTCCTCACGGTTTATTCCTGTCCCGTCAGTAGCAAGAAATCGTTCAGGGTTGAAAACAGAGGGCTCGTTCCAAAGTTTCCTGAAAGAGCAAACACACATTCTAGATTCTCTTTTTATACAACCCTCAAGGCAGATTAGGAGAAAGCAGGCGTTCAGATGTCCTTTGCCTAGCCAGATTAAAACAACTACATCTACTTTGTAAACTGCCCAGAGTCGTTTTTTAACGAGATGGGTGGTGACAAATTTGATATATAAATAAATATAAATAAATAAATCTGTGTTGAAATATGACTTCCAAAATTGCCAATCTGCTCCTTCTGTAGTAAACTATATGGATTCTACCAAGTGAAGATTTCATCCAGTCTCCCCTTTCAGCCAGATCTTCAAATTGCAAAATGGATTTGGTGATCAGATAGATCTTTTATGAGTGTATTACACACACTTCTTATTAACTCAGCATACTCCCACAATTCCTCCAAATTTAAATAATCTCATGGCTGTTGAGAGGAGGAAACTAAAAAGCAAATAAATGCCTCAGTACAAATCACTGGCTGCTATTGATCTAGAACACTGTTTCCCAAGCATGACAATTTCCAGATGGGTGGACTTCAAATCCCAGAATTCCACAGCCAGCATGGCCATTGATGAAAATTCTGGGAATTGAAGTCCACACACCTGGAAGTTGCCAAGGTTGGGAAACATGGGGAGGAACAGATAGCATACCCACCCCCACCCACCCCCCAAAAGGCTTTTAGGAAGTCTCCAAAGCCCTCATTACATTTGCCACTAATATTCAGTCCCAAATATTTATTTTTATGAAAAAGAAGGTAATTTTAAGGCTTAATTTTGAAACCATAAGTTAAATCTAACATTCATATTTAACATTTTATATCATGGCCTTGATTCTATATATTTATTTATTTCCATTTTTCTGGCCCCACTTATTTGCTTGACCTGGCTGTATCCCTTCCTCAGCATACCACCCACCAGTAAAGATGTGGCACTCAGATGGAAAAAGACTGCCTGCTCCCCATCTGGAAGGCAGCTATAAGGCTGTGCAAGGCCTCAGATTCAGTTCCACAAAGATAGGTCCTTCAAATGTGCAGGGTGCAATTGTAGCCCTTCGCTGCAACTCTTTAAAGCAGCTGTGTCAGACCTTCTCCTCTTGGGAGTGAAATCTGGAGCACTGCATGGCCCTAAACGTAACACAGATTTTAATGGACTGCATGAAGAATTCTACTTTTGCTCCTGTTGGCAATCTGTTAAGGAGCTATTCTTAGCAACACTTACAGATCATGGTTGACTTGCCACTGGTTGACAAACACACAGGTATCTTGAGGAATATAGAAACCGTTCAGTACTGTGTTCCTAGTGGTGCTAAAGAGAAAAAAAATATTCGTACCAAGGTAACAGGCTATTACTCATAGAACCACACGCATACTGTATTTATCTGAAAATCAGTTCTTTTAATAAAATTCAATAAATTTAACTATTTTTTTTTAATGTGGAAGTTAAGCACATAGCTGACCTAGCAGTTGACAAACGACTATCTCTTGCTAATCATTAATAATCTTTTCAGTTACCAAGAGTCATCATGGGGCTGTGTTCACATATCACACTAAGGCAGTGTTTCTCAACCTTAGCAACTTTAGGACATATGGACTTCAACTCCCAGAATTCCCCATCCACCATGCTGGCTGGGGGAATTCTGGGAGTTGAAGTCCACACCTCTTAAAGTTGCTAAGGTTGAGAAGTGCTGCACTAAGGCATAGTTTGTTGAAATCTAGCTTACTGAATATACCACAATTAGCTGAGTTCACCCACAACATTCAGCTAAAGCAAACAATGGAGGCGAACCAAACAAACCATAGTAGCTGTGTTAGTTCAACGTGTTGAATATTTATGCTTAACTGAATAATGGTTTCATTACCATTAACCAAATATTTTGGGTTTAAGTTGGGACAAGTTGTTGCATTATCAAATAGCCTTAAGGGCTTCCTCCATAGGCTATATGAATTAGATCTATACTTACTCTGAGTTTTGTTGAATTGAATAATATTTACTTTAGATAAATAGCAAGGTTAGGACTGCGGCCATATTCATGTTTCAAAGTTTCTGTGAAATTCAAATTATGGAGAATTTACATGGCTGTTGAGTACCAATGTTGTACCCACTCTGAATGACCCAAAAGTGACACAGACCTTATCAAGGACATTTATAAGATTTCAAGGAAGGTGAAGACTAAGAGTGTAAACCACAATAAATTTGGGGTAGGGTAAGGTCAACTGCTCTATCCCTCCTGAGCCTTCAGGATATTTCTATTAAATACCTGACTGCTTTTAGCAAATTTTCCAACCTCCTATGATCCACTGTTTTCAACATCACCTTCTGCCAGCATAAACCTAGGTTATACTGGCTAGTAATTATGGAGGTTGAAGTCCAAGACATCTGGAGCTTATGGAAGAGTGTTTTAGAGGCACAAAAATCTAGTCACCTGTTCCAAGACTGAACAAATGCTCTGAAAAAACCTGAAAGCCTTGGTGGTACCTCAAGGTACCTCAGATAACCCTGGATTCCCTGCCATCTCCCTTTGTCACATTGACCTCTGATTATCTAACATAAGCTACTGTTCAGCCAGCCCAGCCTTACCAATGGGGGATTGTGAAGGGAACGTAGGATGAATGTCTGAACATCTCAAAGATAAAAGCTTCTGAGTAAGGGAGCACGGCACAGTCAGACAGCTTGGGTGCCCTTTCTCTGCCAATGATTTGGTCTGTGGGTCAGGAGGAAGAGAGAAAGAATAAAAGAAGAGTGATTGAAGGCCAGACTTGAAAAGGGACTTTTAAAAGTAAACAGATCTGGATTTACCAAGTTCTTCTTGAATTTTCCTCTGGGTTTTTGGGTAAGTCACCAGATACAGAAGGCACCAGGCCAGACCAGTAGTCACAGTATCAAATCCTGGACGGATATAAAGAGAAAAAAGCATTTAAGCCTTAAATGCAGAACAGGAGATTATGTCTGGGTTCCCTGTATGATGTTAAACCATGCTTTCCTTTAACCATGAGCATGCCTGATTCATATAAAATGCTAAGCCATAAAGCATTTTGATGCTGGCTGGCTGCAGACATGTTGCTGAGCCACTGGGACTTAGCTCAGTTTGCAGAACCAAATCAAGCGTGGCCAGGAGGCGGTTTGAGGGAATGGCATGGTTTTTGCAAGTCACCAAAGGGTTTCAGCCTGCAATCATATAACCAAACAGCATTTAAAGAGTCTCCAATTCATGTGGATAAATTGAATGTGGAGGACTCTGTTGGAGAAATATCCACAGCATCCCAAGTTAAGAGTTTCAGTATCATTTGCAATACTACCAAGGAGGAGGAAGATGACGTTTCTCCTCCCCATCTGTCAACTATGCCTTGGCCAGGAAACCAGGGAAGATAATGGCTGAGAAGCATGGAGTTATGGGGCCTGGCTTGTACATCGGGGTGAAATGTGGATCAGAGATGAGTCTTGATGGCTACATGGATGGTACTGAAATGCTCAAGAGGAAGAAGAATCAGGAGCTTTTAGGATAAAGGTTTCTTACCAGCTCCAAAGAGTTCATTGACGATCCCGACAATGTTCTGATCCTTAAGGGAATCGTTGGCATCTGAACCCGGTTTTTTATCCTGGCAGAAGCTGATGAGGGAGTCAGTGATATCTCGGATGTTGTTCTGGAATGCAGACCAAAAGGACAGACATGATACCAACTTCCAGCACACACAACTCTCCGTTTCACACAATGAGCCTCGTTACTTAGATGAGCACATGCCAACCACCTTTCTGCAACTAGATCATGATGTACCCTTCTCCCTCAGTATTGTTAACAGTGGTTTGTTGAATATGACAGGATGGGCTTCAACTCCCAGACAGGATTGGCTGGGCTGAGTCAGATCTATTACAAACCACAAGGTTGGAATTCACGTATCACATCAAGCCATGATGTGGCTACTTTGGTTTGTTTAGTGCATTGAGCAAACTCAGCCATTGTGGTTAACTCAGTAAACGAGAGGTGATCAATCTAAGGCAGTGTTTCTCAACCTCGGCAACTTGAAGATGCGTGGACTTCAACTACAGAATGCCCCAGCCAGCCCTGTGCCCCTGGGGTTTTTGGGCCTTTAGTGCCACAAACCTTAAGAGCGCCAAGGGGGTAAAACAGAGATCTAAGGGTTCACATCA